ATTGCTTGGTGGATTGTTAACCTCTGGATTTGATGGAGCATCATGCAAAAGTAGGATGCAGTCCCACTTATACCGCAAAGTTTCTCCTCACAAACCTTCTCCTTATTTGATATCTAAACTACGTAACTACGAAGAGATTCATGCAAGGTGTGGACCTAATAGTAGAGCTTATGATAGAAGCATGAGAGAGATTGAACACTCCAAGAACAATGGTGTCGCTACAATGTGTAAGTACCTTATATGGATTCCTATCAATGGTTTGGGGAACCAAATGATTGGCTTGGCTTCAACGTTTCTTTATGCCATTCTCACTGATCGAGTGCTACTTGTAAAACTTGGGAAAGACAAGCATAGACTATTTTGTGAGCCATTTCTCAACTCAACTTGGATATTGCCCGAGAAGTATCCTTTTTGGAATAGAAAACAAAGCCAAACATATCAAATAATGCTAGAGAAGGAAAAAACTAGCAATTCAACGATGGATTTACCATCAACTCTATTTGTTGATCTACGACGCTATTCCCTTTCTGACCCTGAGAAATTTTTTTACTGTGACCATACTCAAGATCTTCTCCACAAGGTCCCTTTGTTGATTTTGCAATCTGATCAATTCTACGCACCTTCTCTATTCATGACCTCATTTTTCAACGTGGAGATCACCAAAATGTTCCCAAAAAAAGACACCATTTTCCACCATTTGGGTCGCTACCTTTTTCACCCTTCTAATGAGGCATGGGAAAATATCATTGGTTACTATGAGACACACCTGGCCAATGCAAATGAAAGGATAGGCATCCAGATAAGAGTATTTAACCCTGATTCCACACCGCAAGAAGCAATTATGAATCTAGTTTTAAGTTGCACATTAAAGCAAAAGCTACTACCAAAAATAGGTTTGTCAAATCCAATTTCTTCCACGGGGAGAAATCATAGTTTAAAGGCAGTTCTTGTGGTATCTCTATATCCAGAGTATGGAGATAATTTACGGACTATGTATCATAAGAAACCAACAGTTAGTGGGGAAATTATACAAGTTTATCAGCCAAGTCATGAAGGGGAGCAAAAGATAAATGATGATAAGCATAATATGAAAGCCTGGACAGAGATTTATCTACTAAGTATCTGACGTGTTGGTGACTTCTCCTTACTCTACTTTTGGCTACGCTGCTCAAGGGTTGGGAAATTTGAAGCCTTGGATTCTTTCCAAAGTAATGGAAAATGATACTCATTTTTCACCCTGTCAACGAGATTTTTCATCAGAGCCTTGTTTTCATATTCGTCCCAAGCATTACTGCAATGGAAAGCTCATGAAAAATTTCATTTCTTCTTTTCCTTATTGGAGGAAGTGCAAGGATTATGGTCCTGGTGTGAAGCTAGTTAACAATTTTATATAGTTGCAAATTTTTTTATGGTTAAGCTACTGAATGTTTAACCCTTCAATAAAATTGAGGATAAATTATATTTTTAATATTCCATCTTATTGGAAAAATTTGTGCTAGTTCTTTATCATAAAAAAAATTATTTGTGAATTAAGTTTTCTTATATAATTTATTATATATGTGTTATTATATAGGATTACCGATTGATATATATTTTTTAGAATAATTATATTGAGAGTATTCTTAGGGACAATTATCTAACAAGAACATCTTTAAAAACCTTTTTTCAAAATAAAACTTTTATGTATTTTTAAACCTCTTATATGTTTAGTTTATTGTTTCATTTTGTTTTAAATTAAATTTTAGTAATTTTCTTAAAACAAATATCAATGTATAAAAATAATCTTGCATCACATATAAATTATCTATCATAAATTTAAAATATAATTTAAATATTGAAAATATTTATTTATTATATGATTTTAATTATAATTAAATTTATATATTAAATTTTTATTTATTATGAATTTTAATTATATAAAATAAGTATTTATCTTTTACATTGTAAATGCTAAAATAAATAAATAAATAAATAAATATTAATAACTTCATCTTTGTAAATTTTAATTATATTAAATTAATATTTATCATAGGAAATGTTAAAATATTAATTTATATAAAGAAATAATTAAATATATTTTTAGTTAACTATTGGTGAAGCTAATCTTCCCATCATATTTTTTTAGGGAACTGTTATGGTACCCATGATAATTGAAAGGTTTTGGTACCTCAAATTATGTGAACAAATAAATTTAAAAGAAATAAATTCAAAATAACATAAATTTTAGATTAAAAATTTATAGAAGATGAATCTATCAAAAAGACTAATTCAAAAAAAATAATTAAAAGGTCAATTTTTATAATAAATTTTATTTATATGTGATACAATTAAAAAATTAAAAACAAAAAGTATAATAACATTATAAAATTATTAAAATAAGAAAGAAAAATAATAAATAATACAAGTAAAAAATTAATTTATATTATAAATTTAAAAAATTAACACCAAAGAAAAGCTAAAATGTATTAACAAAATATTAATATTAAACTATTTAATTATAATAAATGCTATATTAAGATAAAAATTTAAAAATATAAAAATAAATAATTACAATAAAAAATAAATAAATTAAACGGTTGTACCGGTACCCCACTATTATAGTGGGTACCGTAGAATTTTCCATTTTTTTATCCACTTACAGGATTTAAACTCTAGATTTTACTTAAAGATTTGAACTTAGATCCATTTGAATCATTAACATGTTGATGAAAGCATTAAATAATTAACTATAAGTTTGTTAATTAAGGATATCGATTGAAATATAAATGATAATTGTAAATTTATAAAATAAAATATTCTTAAATAAGATAAAATTATTAAATTGAAAATGATAAAAATGTAAAAAGAAAAAAAAAGGTATAAAAAATCTTAATTATCTAGTTTCTCTCGTTAATATGTTAATGTGTGATTTTAATTGAATCATTAAGATCGACCTAACTAGAAGTAGGATTGAATTAAAATAAATGAGATGATAAAATTTAACCTTAGTGCAACCATTTTACATATATAAAAAATACTAATTTTAATTTTCAATATGTTTTATTAAAAATTACATTTTATTTAAAAGAAAAATTTTATAATCAACTTTTTGGTTAACTTTCCTAGTAGAATATTCGTGTCAACTAGATAAATGTTCCATAATCCAATTTGAACTTTGGGCCATTTGGCACGAGCTCCGTCTCCTTTAATATAGAGGCATTGGCAGCAAAATTTTGCTAGAAACCGACTCTTTTATGGCAGTAAAGTTAATTCTTGAAGGGTGTCCTACAGCACATCCAATAAATTATCTCCCTTTCAGGTCATGCGATGTTCATTTCGATCTCTCATATATTTTCATAGAAGCAAATACTGTGGTTGATTGTTTAGCTAAATATAAAGGGCCTACGGATGAAGAGTGTTTTCTTTTTAGTTCCCCTCCTGATTTTCTTTTTAGTTATTTAGATGCAAATAAGTTTGTTAACTTATCTTTGAGTTGTTTGTAGTTGGGCTTTAAGCCCCTTTTGTTCACAGAAAAAAAATTATTTACTAAAATATGGAGAATTAAAATGGTTAGTGCAAATAAAAATATTAGAGTATTGACTATAGCGTCATTAAATTTCTCTATGTTATGTTAGAAAATAAAATTAAAATAAAATATTAATTGTGAACAAAAATATTAGATATATTATCAAAAGTTTAAATTTTATGTATAAAAAAATATAATTAAAAGAATTTTTTTTATTAAAGGTGATTAAATAAATTTTTTGACAAAAATTAATTATTAATAAAGTTGATGGATACTTCATACTATTAACATAATGATTACTCAAAATTTTCCTAAAGATAATTAGAGTGTTAATAGCTTCACCTTTTAAATTTCTCACTCTCTGTTAACATTATATTAAAAGAATTACTAATGACATTAATTATGATGGTCAAATATTTTTACCAATTTTTTTATTAAAATAATTGTAGACTACTTATAAATTAATTAAATATTTAAATGTGAGCCCATTAAATAAGGATATTTTTTAAATAATTGATATTTTAAAACTTTTTCATGATATTTTTTTAAAATAAGATAAAATTCTCAAATTGACAGATCATAAAAATGAGTGTTGATTTTATTTTTCTCAAAAATATTCAACTTATAAACTAATCACTTGAAAATCTGATTAAAAGATTAGCACGTTCTTTCATACACATGTATATGAAGGAAATAATGGTTTCTAGGATTTGTAATAATCATTAATTGTTTAAAAAATAAAAATAAAAATTATTATGTAAATAATGAAAATGTATAATACTTACATGTTAATTAATCCTTATATATTAAATATAAATTCTTACCTTGTATAAGAGTGTTTTTAAAGGCTTTTCTTTAATAAGAGAGTTTGTATGTAATTTAATTTTTATTTATTATAATTATTTATGAATTAAATATTAATATTTTTTTAAAAATAAATTATCAATAAATAAAAATAATTTTGTACTACATATAAAGTATTTATCATTAATCTAAAATACAATTTATATATTTAAAAATATTTATTTGTATAATTTTTAAATATAATTTATATATTTAAATATAATATTTATATAGATATAATTTATTATAAATTTTATTTATATATAATAAATATGCATCTACATTACATAAGTTAAAATACTAATGTGTCCAAATAATGCTTCCTAGGGTTCTTGTCAATGACTACAACTACTCATTAATTGTTTTAAAAAATAAAAATATACATTGACAAGAAAAAAATAATTTTGTAATGTAATTAATGGTTCCTAAGTTTTGTATAATATATTATTCAAAAATAAAAAGAAACTATAGTACTTAATTTAAACAAATGGTCAAAGAAAAATATGAGAATAAGAAACTGAACAAAAATAGTGAAGATGCATTTTTTATCTGGATCAGGGGGAGTGGGCTTGATTGTTTATGGGCCGGTTTCTTTGCTTTATTAAGAATTTTAGATGAACATGCTTCTTGACTTTGTTCTTGATGGAAGAAATTGTCCTTTCCTTTGCTTTCTCTCATTGTTCTTAGACAAGGGCATTCTTCAATTCGCAATTTTAAAGGGTTTGGTTACTTTCATCAAGCCACAATGGGACCCAATTCTATGAGTCTCAGAATGTTCCTTGTTATGTTTTTCTTAGTTTCTGTCGTTGTCATAGGTACTTTGACGTACCAAAACTCTACTTTCAGAATTTTCGAGGGGTTTTTGAGAAGCAATGTACAAGGAGGAACAAGTCAGAATGTTACAACTCATGGCTTTGGATTGAGAGGAACAATCCAAAATATAAAAAATGAAAGCTTAGGAAAAGAAGGTAATAATGATAATTGTGTTTGTAACACCCTTGTATTGTATGCATGAGTTATTTTACTATTTCCCTTCAACATCGTGTCCATTTATTCTGCTTGTTTCGTAAGGACCAAAACTCACCTTAATTACTTCCTTATAATGAACAAGGTGGAGTTCAGAACCCACAAGGGACATCTCAAAATGAAGGAAGAACTAAGAATATTACAAAAGCAGATGATGGTAAGTGACTGCTATATTTTCTTAATTATTTTTGCTGCCAAAATATATTTGTTCCATATCTTTTATCCCTACAGCACTTTCATTGATGGTCGTCATTTTTTCAGAAATAAAAATTTGTATTTTACAAACATTATTTTTTAGTCAAAACTTACGTGGGTCACACAATTATTATTTTTTATATATTACGGTAATCATTTTAAGGGAGATAATCTTATTCTAGCTATAGAACACACACATGTTGTTTATTTAGATGATTTATAATTTCATAAGCTTCTTTTATATATAAATTTTAACTAATAATCTATATCTATACTAATATATAAAGGGGATATCACTTTCAATAATTACTTTTGGTTTCCATTTTTACTTGGACCATTTTATCATTTATTTATTTTTCAATAACTACATTTTTTTATGAGTAGTTTCTCATTCTTTTCCTTTTTTTTATTTATTTTTCTTTTAATATAATGTAGGCACGTAGTGCCTTTTTCCTGCTAGTTAATATATAAAGGGAATACCCTTTTCAGTAACCACCTTGGTCTTTATATTTTTTTTTATCATTATACATTTTTATTTTAAAAAATTAGAAAAAAGATTTTTTAATCTATACTAATACTAACATATAAAGAGGATACACTTTTCAATAACCACCTTGGTCTCCACATTTTTTTTACCATTATACCCTTCTATTTTAAAAAATTAAAAAATATTTTTTAATCAAATTTTAAGAACTTAAAACTAATGAATTAATTATAACACCAATTAGATCAATATATTTTTATTTTATTTTTTTTATTTTATTTTTAATAGAGGTACAAAGTTTCTCAATCCCACTAATAATAAATAAATATTTTTAGAAGAAATGACACAAAAAGGAGAAATATTAAGTGATTTGTGATTGCCATGATCTTAATAAATCTCTACATGACACATATATAGTATATCTATTAATTATTATGGCACATGTATATATGTATTAATTATTTTGTCATAGATTGAAAATTTTAATTAAATATTAAATGAAAATTGACAATAGATAATCAGAGGTTATCTTTCTTGACAAATAATAAAAAGAAAATTAATAATTAATAAATATTTATGTATTAAAATATTGAGTCACTCATTATATTCAATGGGAATATTTTATTTATGTATCATTATTTATTATATTTATTAGTTTTTATATATTTTTAAACAAAAAATAAATGAATTTCACTACTAGAGTTTCTCTTATTACATGTAACTTTTCCTGTAAATTTTTATGAAAATTTTGCAGGAAATATTATTTTTACAAATTTTTCTGCAAAGTTTTATTTGCAAGTAATACTTTTGTAGATAATATGTTTTTGCGAATTTTAAAAATCGCAAGAAATTTTCCTGCGAATTTTCCTACAAAAAAATATTTGCAGAAATTTTTTGCGAATTTTCTTGCAATTATAATTTCACAAAAAATTTATGAATTTATTTGCAAAAAATAATTTACAGATATTTCTTACAATTTTTTTATGAAAAATAATTTACAAGAAATTTTTGCAAATTTTGCTACAATTTTAATGATCATAGAAATTTTTTTCCATGATAAAAATTTGCAGAAAATATTGTAAATTTTTTTTTGTTTCTTACATATTTTCTTACAAAAATAAATTCGCAAGTAATGTTTATTAAATGGTAGAAAAATTTTGCAGGTAACTTTTCCTGCAAATTTTCCTGCCAATTTTAATCCGCAAGAAAAATCAAAAAAAATGTTTAAATTTATAATTTTAATATTTTAAAAAAAACTTCAAGTCCTACATCGATTGAAAATAAAATAATTAAAGAGTATATAAGTTGGGACAACACTTATCTTACACGTTGATTTGTATGGTTGACTGTTAGACTTATAATCTGTAATCTTAGAATTTAAAAGATTATGTACCACATGATGGAGGCGTAGAAACATCATTGTGATCATTTGAAAGTTGAAGAATTATTGATAGAATTTATAGTAATTTCTTTAATTTTTTCGTAAAAAATATTCCTGCAGAATTCTTGCGAAAAAAATTTGCAGGAAAGTTTCTTGCAAAATTTTTTTGCAGATTATGTATCACATGTTGGAGGCGTGGAAACATCATTGTGAGCATTTGAAAGTTGAAAAATTATTGATAGAATTTATAGTAATTTTTTTAATTTTTTTCATAAAAAATATTCCTGTAGAATTTCTTGCGAAAAAAATTCGTAGGAAAGTTTCCTACGAATTTTTTCGCAAGAAATTCTGCAGGAATATTTTTTACGAAAAAAAAATTAAAGAAATTTCTATAAATTCTATCAATAATTCTTCAACTTTCAAATGTTCACAATGAAGCATTTGTTTCCACGCCTCTAACATGTGATAGATAATCTTTTAAATTTTAAGCTTGTAGATTATAAGCCTAACACTCAACCATACAAATCAACTTGTAAGGTAAGTGTTGTCCCAACTTATATACTCTTTAATTATTTTATTTTCAATCAATGTGGGACTTGAAGTTTTTTTAAAATATTAAACCTATAAATTTAAACATTTTTTTTATTTTTCTTGAGGATTAAAATTGGCAGGAAAATTCGCATGAAAAGTTACCTGCAAAATTTTTCTACTATTTAGTAAACATTACTTACGAATTTATTTTTGTAAGAAAATTTGTAAGAAACAAAATAAAATTCTTACAATATTTTCTGCAAATTTTTACCATGGAAAAAAATTTCTATGATCATTAAAATTGTAGCAAAATTTGCAAAAATTTCTTGTAAATTATTTTTCATAAAAAAAATTGTAAGAAATATCTATAAATTATTTTTCACAAATAAATTTGTAAAATTTTTTTGTAAAATTATTATTACAAGAAAATTCGCAAAAAAAATTTACGAATATTTTTTTTAGAAAAATGACACTTTTCTAGTATGTTTCTTCCTTTTCATGTTTTAACTATAATAAAGGATATTAAACATGTACACAATTTTTGTCTAATTTTATTTCTTAATTACATTTTTATAAACTAATTTTATTTTTTTTAAAAAAATTCAATTGATAACTACCTATATCTTCAATTAACCATTTACGGTTATATTATTTTTATTGTTTTAATTTCTTTTTAAAACTACCGAAGCATAGATTACCTTTCTTACATTATTGTAAAAAAAATTATTTATAAGTATTGCTTATAGATCTATTAAACTTATATACAACTAGAGGGGTCTAGGCACTCCATGCCTCTAATAGTTATACATAGATAGAATATTAAAAGATTGTGTGCAATTATTTAGAAAAGATATATAAGATTTTTTTTAAGTTTGAGGGGTATAATGGTCTATTAAAAAGTGGAGACCAAAAGTAGTACACATCTAAGTATTCACTTTATATATTAGTATAGATATTAACAAATAGATATCAATTAAATAATGTAGTAAATGAGTAGATATGTTGCATATTATTAGATAACAAGTGATAAGGTATTGAAACTATGACACTCTTCATCCCACATACTATAAATATTTGAATAATTAAAGTTAAATAAAAAAATATTTTATAAATAAAATTCAGTTTGTTAATTAAACATAAAAGATAGACTAAAACCCTAATTTTATCTCTTATAATATTAAAAAAGTTTAATTTGGTCTCACTTTAATTTTTTGTTTCAATTTAGTCCTAGTTTATTTTAAAATACTTCAATGTGGGACTTCTGTCCAAATTTCACAAACAGTGTTAAAGGTCCGTGAGAATCATGCTCGTGATTCCAAATCATGACTGTGATTCTCATGCCTAGTGTTAAATCTTGATGGGAGAGGGCTTTTTTCATTCTCCAATCACCACTTCCGCTCCCGCCGCCGCCTTTTCCTCTCCTCACTCCCCTTCGAAGACGTCGACCTGGCGAACGACGTCGTCGTGGACCATCACGGCAACGCCTTCGTGACGAACTCCAGCGAAAGCTTCACTTGGAAGGTATTCGTCGACGGATCCGCATCGATCTTCTCCCCATCTCTGATGTACACGAAGGCGATGAAGAATTCTTCTGACAGCTATGCACCTTATGGTTCCGTAGGGCTGAACAAAATCGCCTACGTGAGCAAGGGATACCTCCTGGTGGTGCAGTTGAGGACGTGGTGGACGGCACAGCGAGGAAGGTGTAGTTGAACGAGGATCTGGTGGGTGCGGACAACATCGCGATGAGGAAGGACTGCATGGCGGTGGCGGTTTCATCGATGAAGGTGTTATGGTTGATGAAGAGCGATGATAATTGGGCGGAGGGAGCGGTGTATGACAAGGTGGAGGTGAACGTGCGATGGTTTCCGACGTTGGTGGTGATTAGAGAACGAAGAATGAGAACACAAGAACGAAGAATGCCCTCTCCCACCAAGATTTAACACCAGGCTTGAGAATCATGGTCGTGATTTGGAATCGCGGGTGTGATTCTCACAGACCTTTAACACCGTTTGTGAAATTTTGACGGAAGTCCCACATTGAAATATTTTAAAATAAAATGGGACTAAATTAAAACCAAAAATTAAACAAATTGAAATTTTTTAATATTATAAGGGACCAAATTAGGGTTTGAGCATAAAAGATATTATATTTTAACAAAACAAAACCAAATAAAATTTATTACAAGAAAATTAATCATTCTCAGAATATGACAAAAAAAGAAAATTCCTAACTAAGTCTCGATATCACAATCTATTAGAACATAACTCATCTATGAGGACTAAGTCTCATCACCAACATCCTCAACGTCATGTTGAAGATCATCTGCAACAACATACAACAAGTAAAACAACACAAAACAAGGAGAGTAAGAAATATCTCACTTTGACTCACGATGTAGAATATAGTCGAATAGTCAAACATAATAAGGCATACATATCACGATGTAGAATATAGTCGAATAGCCAAACATAAATAAGGCATACATATATACATAGCATGAGCAGATTGGTAAAATAACACATTTCACTCATTCATGATAAATAATTAAACAACACATAACAATAAAATGCATATGCAATAGGCACAAACTACATATTATTGTGCATGTGGCATTAGTAAAAATATCACATGGTGTATTATCACTTGCAACACATAGAGTAACTTAGGAATACATGTTGGGTCACACCCTCAACACACTCTCACTAGGAGAATATACTACCAAGATATGATGGGCATAGTTGAGTCGTACAAGATACATCTCATGCACACAAAGGATAAGATTGAGACTTCCAAATCAAGTTATCCCCAAGGATTAATCCCCAAAATTTTACACAATGAGGCCTTTTCTGGCAGTGTATTTCATATTGCATCCTTCAAAAATTATTTATGCATATGATGCATGTCAAACAAGACTCTACACATTATCACATCACAATAATTCACACCCACAATTGTATATCAATTATCTTTTCAATTCACAATCACATTATGGTTAAGCCTCGCTTAGACTTCTCATATAAACCTCATAGCATTCATACACGACAATTGTATCAAACCAAAGACATCAATTAATTCATACATACCTCACAATAGTGCCAATAACATACTCGCATACCAAAATTAGTTATCAACATTAATTATTACAATGATTACACATGTGCATAACTCAACACAATAATTACACAATATCATCCAATACACCTCAAGATAGGATTATTATGAAATCATCTAATCATATACTAATACATCAACCATATTCACTAAGAGATCAATGTCAAACTAAGCATTTAAATTAATAACTTAATTAGTCTAACAACCTTATTAATATCTTGCATTAAGTCCTTAGGTATCACTATCACCAAAACATCTCAAGTTGTTAACAATTAATTCATATCATAACTTATTCCCAATTGCACCTTCTCATAATTTCTCTTTGTTAAACACTAATATAGGTATCTTAAATCATTCATAAGATCAAGCACCTAAAGGGCAAAACTATTCAATACTAACACTATGAATTATAATCTCAAGTCACGCTGTTAAAACACCTCAATTATATTATAGGAGCATTCAACACCACTATATCTTTTGAACACTAACTTAATTACTCCCTTATCATTACTAGATTGTATCATCAAGCTAACCATCCTCAAGTTATCTTAAACTCATAAATATAACTCATCTTAAGCAATGGAGGTGATAAAAGAGAGAAAAACATGCCAAGAAAAAAGGTAACAACATAAGTCATAATGGTGACTCTAATCACGCCTATGACTTTCTAGTCACGCTTGTAACTCATTGCTCACACTTGTGATGAAATCTGACATATGTGAACTTTGATAATGTGGACCTCATAACACATCTCATCATCAAAATTAACCATCAATCAATAGAATCATAGATTAAAAAGCCAAAATCACTCTATTAAGTCATCAATTACATAAATTCATATGCTTATATCATCTCGTCATATAAACACCAAAATGCATTTCCTTAAGGTTCCTACAAAAACTCATAAACAATTCAAGATTCACAATTATCAAATCAAATACCAAATTGAATACATATACATATCAATAACATCAAATATAATACTAAAGAATCACAAAGAAGACAAAGACACATTTTTAGAAAAACCTCTTACATACAAAACAGATAATAAAAATAGGATTGTGGATCAATTTCATTACCCAACATACATCTTACACCTAGAGTGAGACTACTCACTCTTCCTTACCTCCATGAAGGCTAGACGAAGGGTGTAGATCTCAGGAATGATCTCTAGTTCTTTTGAGCACCAAGTGTAAAGAGGAATTGAGAAGCATAAAACATAAACTAACTCTCCACTCTTAAAACTTCTCTTTTAAAAATTTATCAACCCACGTTTAACCCTTAGTAAAACACTTTAACTATAGTCACACTTCCCTTCCCTCAAATATTAAAACTTATAACTAATTAATATATAAAATAAATATATCTTTCCAACAAAATTATAATTAAAATAAAATGCATAAAACAATTATAATAAAAACACATATTTTTCTCCAAATACTTATTATAACAAAGTACCCTAAAAATATATATTTCTCTAATAAGTATTATACAAAATAATTTTGCAAATATTTATTAAAAAAATTCATAATTATTAAAAGCCACTAAACTATTTTTTTAAAAAAAATCATTTAATTAATTAAAATATTTTTTTTAATAATTTTAAAAATTTTGGGATGTTACATATATAAACAAGTTAATTAACTATAATATAAACCAAAGAAAGAACAAAATAAATATTGGTAGACACCTCTATAATTTAGTTGATATCCGGATAGATAAGTTGAAAGAAGAGAAAAAAGTATAACGTGAGAAGTAATATAATGTGATAAAAAAAAATAAAAAAGATATATGATAAGAATTAATAAAAGAGTAATGATATATGTCCATTTATAAATAGTTTAAATCCCACAATGACACCTCACATCTCTTTCTATCCTCCTATTACATCATGCATATACCTATTATAATAATTCTATTTTTTTGTTCTCTAATTAGTATATATTATAGCGTGTGTCTAAGAAATATTTCCTTAATAAAATGTTTAGAATTGTATAGGCTATAATGGTTGCATATTGATCGCTACTCCCCATGTATAACAAACTGAAACTCTGGACTATAGAGTACTTCTTTAGAGCTTGCATTTTTTCCTCTAGTTTTCTAATGTACGTATATTCTATATTAATTCTACAGGTTCTAAAACTGCTTCATTGACAAGTTCACATGCTGCTAATCTTGATGACAAACTACTCGGTGGACTGTTAACCTCTGGATTTGATGGAGCATCATGCATAAGTAGGATGCAGTCTTACTTATACCGCAAAGTTTCTCCTCATAAACCTTCTCCATATTTGATATCTAAACTACGTAACTACGAAGAAATTCATGCAAGTTGCGGACCTAATAGTAGAGCTTATGATAGAAGCATGAGAGAGATTGAACACTCCAAGAACAATGGTGTCGCTACAATGTGTAAGTACCTTATCTGGAATCCTGTCAATGGATTGGGGAACCAAATGATTAGTTTGGCTTCAACATTTCTTTATGCCATCCTCACTGAACGAGTGCTACTTGTAAAACTTGAGAAAGACAAGCATGGCCTATTTTGCGAACCATTTCTCAACTCAACTTGGATATTACCCGAGAACTCGACTTTTTGGAATCAAAATCATATTGAAACATATCAGGTCATGCTAGATAAGGATAGGGCTAGCAATTCAACGGAGGATTTACCATTAGCTCTGTTTGTTAACCTACAACACCCCTTTTTTAACCCTGAGAAAATTTTTCACTGTGAACATACTCAAGATCTTCTCCGAAAGGTCCCTTTATTGATTTTGCAGTCTGATCAATTCTATGTGCCCTCTCTGTTCATGACCTCATATTTCGACACGGAAATCACCAAAATGTTCCCGGAAAAAGACACGATTTTCCACCATTTGGGTCGCTACCTTTTTCATCCTTCCAATGAGGCATGGGAACTTATCATTGGTTACTATGAGACACACCTGGCCAATGCAAATGAAAGGATAGGCATCCAGATAAGAGTATTTAATCCTGAGTCCACTCCAAAACAAGAATATATGGATCTAGTTTTAAGCTGCACCTTAAACCATAAGTTACTGCCAGAAATAGGTTTGCCAAATCCAATGTCTTCTACGGGGAAAAATCATACTGCAAGTGTAAAGGCAGTTCTTGTGGTATCTTTATATCCAGAGTTTGGGGATAATTTGCGAACTTTATATCTGAAAAAAACAACAGTTAGTGGGGAAGTGATACAAGTTTATCAGCCAAGTCATGAAGGGAATCAAAAGTTTAATGATAAAATGCATAATATGAAAGCTTGGATGGACATTTATCTACTAAGTTTATCTGACGTGTTGGTGACTTCCCCTTTCTCTACTTTTGGCTATGCTGCTCAAGGGTTGGGAAATTTGAAGCCATGGCTTCTTTCCCATGTAAAGAAAAATGATACCCATTCTTCAACATGTGAACGGGATTTTTCATCGGAGCCTTGTTATCATATGCCTCCCAAGCACTATTGCAACGGAAAACTCATGAAAGATTTCGTTTCTTCTTTTCCTTATTCGAGGAGGTGCAAGGATTTTTATCCAGGCATGAAGTTAGGTAACAATTTTGTGTAGTTACATATTTTTCGTGGTTAATCCTTCAATAAAATAAAGTATAGATTTTTTTCTTCATCTTATTATTAGAAAAAGTTTATCTAGAAACTTCTATTATTTCTATTTTTTTAATTTCTATTTTGTATTTTATTTTTATTTTTTAGATTTTCATTTTTATTTTAAATCTTTATATATGGAGTTTCTTCTAGATTAATTTTGGATTTCTAGATAAAATTATTTCTCTTATAATGCCCGAAAATATTTCTTATTCAAATCTATTTCTTCTGAAATGTTCATTGTACAATTTTATTTTTTTCAATGATGATTTAACACATAGAGACTTCATATTTCTATAATTGTTTGTGTTGTATATGGTTTGAACAAATTCCGCCTAGTATTTGGTACAAAGGACTTGAACCTAAAGCTCAGATTTATTGTAGGGATCATCGAAGCTCCAAGTTAAAGTCCTCTGAGCCAAATATTAATAAAAGTTTGTTCAAACCATGTTGGAGGATAAAGGTTCTTTTGTCTTGGCTTCTTTAAAGAAGAAAAAAACCTTTGGAGAATTACACTCGAGAATTTAGTTGCAGGAAGGGAATGGAGAGTGCAGCTTTTGGTTTGTTCGATGGTTTGATGAATCTTAAATTTTCCTTAAGGTTCCCTTCGTCTAGATTCATGATATTCTCCTCAAGGTGAAAGACATTTGGAGTGATGGGAGTTGGGATTTGTCTAAAGTACAAACTCGTATCCCCAAGCGGTAGTCAATAAGCTTTGTAGGTTGAATGTCTAGTTGCATAAGGAACTAGAAGATCTAGTTGTTTGGTGTGTGGTGATTTGGTTGGATGCTACAATGCTAAGTCTGAGTACTAGTGGTTGAGGATGGATCAAGAAGAGAGGGGGCAGGTTTCCTAGAGACAGTGTGGAAGTTAACTCTAGTGGAGAACATACTTTTCTTCGCCTGATTAACAAAAACTAATTATGTAAAAAGAGATGTTTTAAAATTATTTATATCTTTAGTATTATTTATTATAATGTCGTTATGAATCATAACATCAATATCATGTTATGGACCATTTTTTTTAGGTATATTTTTTTAATTTAGATAAATATAAATAAATTTACATAATTGTATAAGAAAATTATATTATTATAAAAAAAATAAATTAATCAACAATAATTAATTAATTGATATATGACATTTCTATTAGTCAATAAAAATCTATTTGTATTTCAGAAAAGTAAATTGATGCTATTAAATATAAAAAGAAAAATGTGATATATAATATAATATATTATTGATTTATTTTTTTAATTTTTTTATTTATACTTCTCTTATTGTTAATAAATAAGGACCTCTTAGAATATCTAATCCTTTAACTCACTCTATATTATCTTAATTGTGATCTTTTATGTTTTACTATAATCTTAAAATTAAATTAAAAACTTATATTTGTTAGTTACTATAAGTTTCTTAGTGACATACGAACCATCATTATTAATTTTTTTCTTTTATTATAACAAATTGAAAGTTCAAGGTAAATGTTTAAAAATAAGCAATTAGATACTATCATTTCATCTCATTGTCATTTACTTATTAAATGATTATAATTTGAATCATAGATTATAATTTAGGTTTTTTTGTCTATACTTGTCTATTATTTGGGTTTGAACATGTTGCATAAAAAATAATCTTTTTAGTCATCTAAAATGAAAAAGAAAAAAAATATAAATAAATTGTAATTGATATTGATTTACATAAGGGTGCTCGATCTTGATAAAAAAAATTAAACATCTTATAACTTTCTTCGAAATGATGCAAATTTAGATAATCTAGACTTCAAGACTAATTTTTTCATAATGAAAATTATATAAGAATAATGAAGAACTTGATATTTTAGTTAAAAAAATTGAAAATTAATGAAGATGAATATCTAATGAAATTGAATGCTTTGATGATAAAATTTAACATATCCATATCGAACAACCTAATCAGTATGATTCATTAGACATTTATGATATAATAATATAAAATAAACTTAAAAGTGATTTACAAGATTGATGAATTACTAAAATATTATACTAGATAAAATATGTCTATTATAAATTATCCTAAAAATATTTTTTGATATTCAAATAATTTTACAATAAAAAAAAACACAAGCACAATACTTAAATAATTGACAACATTATGTTTTTTTTCATCCATGACCTTAAAAACTCTAGATAATTAATCCTAGTGTGAAGCGAGTTAATGATTTTAATATAGTTGCATATTTTTCGTGGTTAATAAAATTAGGATGAAATATATTTTGGGTAGTCTAACTAGAAAAAAAGTCATTTGTCTTTTATTTTTCAAAAAATATTTCAATTCTTTAACTTCTAAATTTGATTTAATAGTGTCCATATAAAATATTGATTATTTTTATTTTGGGAGAATTTTTTTTTAAAAAAATTGAGTATTCAAAAAATGAAACTTATCTCACATTATATTCACTACTTGAAAACTATAAATTTCAGATGATGTTCATGAGATTTTTATCATATTTATGACTCTCTTTTTTAGTTTGAACACTAGTTAGGTTCCATAGCTTTTATATAGGTAATTCTAATGAGATATATGTTTTACGTTTTGAATTAGTTAAAAAATATTTAAAATCATATTCCAAAATTAAAAATATTTTTTTCAAAATGACAACGATAGCTTAAAATTAAAAAATAAAATATTAAAATAAATAATCAAAACAAAATTCTATTAAGATAAAGGATAAAATAATATTCTCACCTAACTATCTAATTTTTTTGTGATATAATATAGTAGTATGATGTAAATATTTCTTAAATTTCAGTAACTTCTGCCTATATGTTTTATTAACTTTCTCTACTAGAATTTCTCTTATTACATGCGACATTTCTTGCGAATTTTTCATAAAAATTTGCAGGAAACGTTGTTCCTGCAAATATTCCTACGAAATTTTATTTGCAAGTAATACCTTAGTGGATAATATTTTTTTGCGAATTTTAAAATTCGCAGGAAAGTTTCCAGCAAAAAAAAAATCGCAACAAGGTTTCCTGCGATTTTTTGAAATTTTGCAGGAATATTTTTTATGAAAAAAATTAAAGAAATTACTATAAATTCTATCGATAATTTTTCAACTTTCAAATGTTCACAATGAATTCATCCGAAACATTTGTTTCCATGCCTCTAACATGTGATACATAATCTTTTAAATTCTAAGATGGTAGACTATAAGCCTAACACTCAACCATATAAATCAATTTGTAAGGTAGGTGTTGCCCCAACTTATATACTCTTTAATTGTTTTATTTTCAATCGATGTGGGACTTGAAGTTTTTTTAAAATATTAAACTTATAAATTTAAATATATATTTTTTTATTTTTCCTGCAAATTAAAATTTGCAGGAAAATCCGCAGGAAAAGTTACCTGCAAAATTTTTATACCATTTAGTAAACATTACTTGCAAATTTATTTTTGCAAGAAAATCTGCAAGAAACAAAATAAAATTTTTACAATATTTTCTGCAAATTTTTACCATGAAAAAAAATTTCTATGATTATTAAAATTGTAGCAAAATTTGTAAGAAATATCTGTAAATTATTTTTCGCAAAAAAATTCTGTAAATATTTTTTTACAGGAAAATTTGCAAAAAATTTCTGCGAATATTTTTTTATAAGAAAATTTGTAAAAAATTTCTGCAAATATTTTTTTCAGAAAAATTTGTAAGAAAATGATATTTTTCTAATACTGTCACTAAAACTTCGATTCTATGTTTGGGTTCTGAGCAATTCACACATTGTTGCTGAAAGATAATTCTTTTTGCGTTTCATCTACATGAGAATATCCGGCATTAGTGCTTCAAATTCTACTTATATGCTTGGACAAGACGTACCAATGCCGATGTACACTAGCTTCGGGTCATAGTTAAATTGAAGTAATAAATAATCAACGTTGTTTTAAGTTACACACTAATCATATAATGTGTACGTAACATCTTGATTGCGACATGTCACATGCTATAATTACACCGTATTGTAATGCAATTTAACCGTAGGGTAACTAGCATTAATACTTGTTTCAACTTGTCAAGGCTTGTGGGGTTATTGCATTTATTATGAACATGTCTTGAAGTTTCTAACAAGATAAGGATGTCCCCTCGGATTGAATATTTATGGGAGTTTGACTTTTCAATTGAGAAACTTGAAATTAAAAAAAAAAAAAAATTGTTATAACCCGCATGGATGGCATAAAAAAATTATGAGATAGTTCGGTATGTGTATATAGTTATAGTCAATCACAATACGAAATGCGTTTAACTTTTTTAATTTATGAAAAGAAATTAATAATTTTTTGATTACATATATACCTTACACTTTTGAGGTTATCGCTGTCAATTTGTCTACTTATATTTTATTGGTTTTAATCATTGTTATTTTATTTTATTTTATTGGGTCATTGTTATTTTATTTTAGTCACTATAATATTTTGTCCATTAAGTTGGTTTCTTTGGGAAAAAAAATTAATAAAGACTAAAAGAAAAGCATTCATGTATTACAAGAATAAAAATGAAGAAAATAAATACATTACATGAATTAAAACCAAATAATAAGAATCAAATTTAAAAAGAAAAATTTTACAAGAATCATTTAAAAATATTACAAAGACTAAAATAAAAAAATGATATATTAAAATATTTAAGCTTATATTTTAAGAGATTAATGATTATGTAAGGACAATATATATAAAATAGTTTAACACATGATCGATTAATTAAATGTCATTGTTATAATTACTTTTTACATATTTATTATTAAAATTAACAACTAATTATAAGTGATGGTTTGTGATAGGAGGTTACATTATTGGAATATCACGTATTTTTTCATATTTTAATACTATTGTCTTAATTGTACTATACTATACATTTAAAGTTAAGGTTATCTAACTCTATTTTAACTTGAGTTCAGTTTGGCAACCCCATTAAATCAACGTATATACCATTAGAGCGCACGTCAAGTTTTGATTTGTGTGGGAAGAAGATCGTTGACATTTACAGAAAGATTTTTTCTATGGTGTCCTCGTAAGAAATGCATAAGAAATTTATTCCAGATGAACATTTAAGGAAAGAAAGCAATGTCAGCTTAGTAAACGTAGGTAATTTGATATGCTAAATATAAAAGTGGCCCCAAGTATATAATGTCATGTAAGCTACCAAAACAAAATGTCAATTATAAAAAGTTGATTCAAGATGGTTGCACGGGATTGTTGGTGGGTTCATTGACAAAAGCATAATCTTTTCCGCTTCTAGGTAATCATTTTCTTTCATCCTCTCTATTCGATTTGTAATTGTGTGTTCCCACCCTCAATTTGTTTTAAATTTCACACTCACACTCGATGAAAACGAGTAGTAGATACGTTTTCACTAACCTGCATGTAGATAAGAGTTTCATTCCTTGTTTCAATCAATCTGCAATAAGCATTTTATGGTGGTAATAAGATCTGACTGCTTATCCATCTTTTCTTGGATTGTAAAGCTCGTCTTGATTTTTAATCCAGAATGTCTACATATTGGCTTGTTAATTATGAATTTGGTCTGTAATTAATATAAGGTAAAAATTAACATGAAAGTAATCAAGAAACTAAACAAAAAAGTAAAGAGTGTGTGTATTTTTTATTTGGATCTGGTTGTTTGGTTTATGGGTCGATTCATTGTTTTATTAAGAATTCTTTCAAGAACTATGCTTCTTGACTTAGTTCTTGGTTGGAAGAAATTGTTCTTACACTTGCTTTATCTCAATCTTCTTGGAGCTTAATTTCAGGCATTGTTGGCAATTTTGAAGGGTTTTTGTTACTTTTGTTAAAGCTCTGCGCCACATACGCAATGGACCAGATTATGGGACAGAATTGCATGAGCCTCAGAATGTTCTTGGTTATAGCTTTCCCTGTCGTTGTAATTGTAACAGTAACCCTAATGTATCAAAACTCTGGTTTCGGACTTTTTGAGGGATTTTCCGGAGGCATAATACAAGGAGGAACAACTCAGAACGTTACTGCTGAGTTGTTGACTGGTGGGCCAAATGTTACAACTCATGGCTTTGAATTGGGAGGAAGAGTCCAAAATATAACACATGACAGCTTAGGAGAATCAGAAGGTAATAATAACTGTGTCAGTATTAAGTAATAGTGTAATTAACACCCATGTATGGTATGCATGAGATTTTGTAATTATTCCCCTTCAACATCGTATCACTTATTCTACCTGTTTCTTAGGACCAAAACTCACGTTACTTCCTTAATAAACTAGGTGGAGTTAAAGAACTTCAAGGGAGATCTCAAAATGATGCCACTACTGAAGGAAGAACTAAGAATATTACAGCAGCAGATGGTGGTGCGTGATACTGCCATTTTCTCCTTATTTTTGCTGCCAAAGTTTATTTATATATTTCGATCAAAAAATTTCAAGTATTTTTTTCTTATATATACATTCAGAGAAAATATAACTAACGACTCTTTTAAATTTTAACATCATTTAAAAGCATTCAATTAGTTACTTACACATATTCCTTTTATTGCTATAAATTTCCTCACAATTTAATTATTAACTCTTTAGAGCCTACACTAACTCTTTAGAGCATTTCTCTTTATATTTGCTAATTAATGTATGAAATTTGTATATTAAATTTTTAGGCCCGAAAAATGTTTCATTGACAAGTTCAACAAATGAGTCAACTCAACATGCAGTTAATCATGATGACAAACTGCTTGGTGGACTATTAGCCTCTGGATTTGATGAAACATCATGCAAAAGTAGAATGCAATCTCACTTATATCGCAAAGCTTCTCCACATAAGCCTTCTCCATATTTGATATCTAAACTACGTGGCTATGAAGAAATCCATAGAAGGTGTGGACCTAGTAGTAAAACTTACGACAAAAGCATGAGAAAGATTGAACACTCCAAGAACAATGGTGTTGCTACAACGTGTAAGTACCTTATCTTTACACCAGCTAATGGTTTGGGGAACCAAATGATTAGCCTGGCTGCAACATTTCTTTATGCCGTCCTCACTGATCGAGTGCTACTTGTAAAATTTGGGAGCGATAAGCATGGCCTATTTTGCGAGCCATTTCTCAATTCAACTTGGATATTACCGAAGAAGTCTCCGTTTTGGAATGAAAAACATATCGAAACATATCAGTTCCTGCTAGAGAAGGATAGGGTTAGCAACTCAACGGAGGATTTACCACCAGTTTTGTTTATGAATCTACAACACTCCCTCAATGACCCTGAGAAACTTTTTCACTGTGGCCATAGTCAAGATCTTCTCCGAAAAATCCCTATGTTGATTTTGCAGTCTGATCAATACTTTGTGCCCTCTATGTTCATGAACCCGTTTTATAGCATGGAGATTACCAAAATGTTTCTAGAAAAGGATGTAGTTTTCCACCATTTGGGTCGCTACCTTTTTCACCCTTCAAATGAAGCATGGGAATTTATCAGAAGTTATTATAAGGCACATTTGGCCAAAGCAGCTGAGAGAATAGGCTTACAAATAAGAGTATTTAAGCCTGAAACCACACCAACACAAGCAATCATGGATCTAGTTTTAAGCTGCACATTAAAGCATAAGATACTACCAGAAGTGGGTTTAGAAACTTCAGTGTCTTATGCTAAAAAAAAACAGACTACAAAAGCAGTTCTCGTGGCATCTTTATCTCCAGAATATGGAGATAATTTACGGACTATGTATCATAACAAACCAACCATTAGTGGGGAAGTGATACAAGTTTATCAGCCAAGTCATGAAGGGCATCAAAAGTCTAATGATAATAAGCATAATCTGAAGGCTTGGATGGACATGTATCTACTAAGTTTATCTGATGTGTTGGTGACAACATCTCTCTCTACTTTTGGCTACGTTGCTCAGGGGTTGGGAAATTTGAAGCCTTGGCTTCTATACAGGATTTTAAAAAACGAGAGCCATTTTCCAGCGTGTGAACGAGATTTCTCATTGGAGCCTTGTTATCATGTTCCTCCTAAGCATTACTGCAATGGAATGCCCATGCCCACCAAGGAATTATTTTCTTCTTTTCCCTATTTGAGGGAGTGCAAGGATTTTTATTTAGGTGTGAAGATGGTTAATGATTCTATGTAATTTCATATTTTCATGGTTTAGCCTTTTTTTCTCTCTTAAATTTATAGTTTAACTGGGCAATGATTTTTATTTGGGTGTGAACTCGTAAACAAAATTAAATACCTTCAACCAACATTGGAGTTACTTTTTCTCCCTTCACACACAACCACATAAGTGTTACACACGACTATTAGGAATATCAATATGTGATATTTCTAAAATTTTGTATAGATCATTGAAATAATTATTATTTATTTATTTTAAAATAATTATTAGAGATAAAAAATAATAATTTTAAATTTTAAAAAATGAAAATTAAAGATAAATATCATACAAGGATTAAACTAAAATTTATTTATTTTACGAGGACAGAAATAATGTTTACAAATTTTAGAATGATGAAAAATAAAAAAAAATTATAGGATTAAAATAACAATTCTCTAATTTTATAGAAATTAAAAATATATTTAAGTCAAATAAAATTATAAAAAAAATAACTAAATAAATTTTAAAAATGGCACTATACATCACAATAATATTAAAAATAATAATAATAAATTACTAGTCGTCATTCACCTGATTTTAGTTTATAAAAAATAAAAAATAAAATATTAATTAAATATGAAAATAAATTATATATAACCATGATTAAAAGTTAAAATCATAAATTTTGAAAATTAAAAATCAATTCTATATATTTTATAAAATCATGATTAAAAAAGTTATTGTATAAATATTATCAACAAAATTATTTTAAATGTGCTATTTTAGTGGAAAAAAAGTTACAATTTTATTATAATGGGGAATTTGAATTTTGGAGGGAAGAAATAAAAAAAATATATAATAAAAAAAAGAGGAACAACAACTTTTAAAAGAAAAAATGAAAATCCTTAGAGAAAGTAATTAATATATATATATATATAATAAGACTGATTTTTAGTGAAAATGTAAAAATTAAAAATTATATATGTTGATGACAAAATTTAAACTTAAGTATTTTTTATTAAGTTTTTGTATAAGTTAAATAATAAGTTGTATTAGACAACATTGTCAAATAAATTCAAAACATCTTATAAGTTATTCATAAGATATTTTATAAATTTATTTAAACACTCTTAAAGTATATTTTTTATTTAAAACATATTACATTTTTGCTATCTTAAAGTGTTTTTGATTTTTTTTTATATATAAATATGTTTTACAGTAAATGTGCAACCTTGATATTTTAATATTTAAATGTTTTAGTTTAAATGTGTAAAGTTTTATAAGTTAAAATTTTTACTTTTAAATGTATTTCTCTCATTTTTTTTTCTTAGCATAAAAAAGGGAAGAAATTTTTCTTTAAAAAAACTATTGGACCCACAAAATTACCATTTAACCGTAGATTTCACGAAGTGGATATAGATTAAGAAAAAAAATTATTTATTTTACGAGTCAAATTTATTTAATCTGTTAAAAATGTAGATTTTGCAGGTCAAATTAATTTATATATCCACTCCTAAAAAATGATGTGTTTGACATAAAAGATTTTAGTGAACATTAAAAGAAAGTAATATTTTTCATTCCAAATAAATATTATCTAATCTCATAAAAAAAATATTATCTAATTTAATATTTTAATGGAATAGATAATATAATATATTGTGAAACTTTTCAAGCATCTTTTATTCATTTTACTAAATACTAATATACAACTTTGGAAAAAGAAAATTTTTATTTTTCTTAAAAACCCTTCACTTATAACAGACTCTTAAGATTATGGGGCAAAAAAAAAAACTGACCCTTATGATAAAGCCATAAAAAATATTTTTATGAATAATTTTTAAGTATGAATAAAATAATTAAGGTGAAAAAAATTGACTTAGAGATTTTTTGATTGCAATCATTTAAAAATATAAAAAGAATCATAGTTTTTTTATAGTAACAATATATTAGTATAAAATATATATTTTTTAAGTAGTGACTAATCTCTGTTGAGAGTTGTGAACGCATATAAGATGGATATGACTTTTCTAACGTAGTTGATTTTGTTAACACTTAATGTTGGTAAAACAATCATAATTTAATTAGCATCTCGTAATTTTTAAAAAATTATTAAAAAAGTTAAATAAGCACTTAAGTTATTTTCTTGCATCCATCCTTACATCAGAGACCTCAGAAAAAGGCCCAAATGCGAGACCCAGCCCAAAAGGCACCTGATGAAGCCCAGCTAGCTGAAAGAAAAAGAATGAATCTCGAGAAACTACTAATCTCCGTCAATTTTTCTTTTGGGGAATCCATTCCTTCTCTCAAATACAAATACCCAATTCTTTTATTCCTTCAAACCAATTTTCTTTCGTTTCCGCAACTCGTGAAATCAGATCAACTTTCACTGCCTCCCTCGATTCGGTACGATGTTTCATTCCCTGTTTCTAATACACCTATGCAATGGGACTTGTTAATTTCTTAGTCTATGCATGATTTGCGCCATCTTATTTCCATGTGTTTGCGTTCCCAATTTTCTTTGAATCTTGTTATTTTGGGAATAAAATGAAGTGAAAACACTGTCTGAGATTGAACTATAATTTTCTCTATCCAATCATACAAATGAAATTGTTTGGGAAGCTGAAACTGAAACCTGATAACAATTCCACGTGTGAATGAAATTGATCTAGCTTTCATTTCCTGCATTTCTTCATTTGAATTCAATGAATAATTTAATGTTTATAAAAAAGGGATTTTACCTTGAGAAGATGGAATGGAACTACATAAAGAAATGATTTTGGTTTGTTTATGATTTGCCTCTTTCTGACTGTGATTCTTGCAATACCAGATATTTGACTGCAAGCAAGCGTAATGGGTATATTCAGGAGTTGCTTCACCTTCATTGCAGGGACGGTCTTTGGGATTTACGTGGCTCAGAGCTATCAAGTTCCTGATGTCAAGAAGGAAGCTGACACTGCCTTGTTACAAGCAAAACAGGTTGAGGAAAAATATCGAAAGTCTAAGGAAGAAGGGCGATGATCAATGATGGTTATTATGATTACAACTTCTATAAATTCTCACACTGAAATCAGGTTCTTGTTTTTGTACTTTTGCTTTTCTGGGTGCATCCTATAGGTATAGGATCAGATACCTCTATTGGAAATTAAACAATAATTAGTGGAAAATCTTTACACAAGTGTAACGTGAGTAATACTCTGATACTTAAATCTTCGATAATGTTAGCACCAAGCCAGAAATTTGTTTAGTGGTGTTATGCCGGAAAAGACATTCTTTTTTATATCATCCTTTAACTGTTGCTCTTGGTGATGATATCTGATTCTTTCAAAATGTTGTATTGTTTGTTTAACGAAATATATATGTAATGTGGTGTGGAGAAGTTGCTTGTTGTCCTTCATATTGAGGAGAAACCAGTGAGAGGTTTTTTATCATACAGACATGCACTCACTTTTATCCCATTTTTACTTTCTTATTTCATTCTTTATTTCTCATCACGACACATTATTCACTCTACTTTTACTTTTTTTCCCCACTGTCTCCCTCTTCCCTCCGCTTATAGGACTGTTTAAAAAATATTAGTGAACAAGTTAAATCGAGAGTTTAAAAAATCAGACCATTAATTGAATGCATCAAGCCTAAGAAACAGTTTGATTTAGGTGAATTATATTTTTGGTTCAGGAAAAATTGTTTTCCAGTTTGGTTCGTCTTTTTTTACGAGGAACCAAAATATGAACAAGCCTAGAAATTTGTTGTCTTTTGTGCTGTTATGCCCGGAAAGACATTTTTTTATATCATCGTTCAGGAAAAATTGTTTTCCAGTTTGGTTCGTCTTTTTTTACGAGGAACCAAAATATGAACAAGCCTAGAAATTTGTTGTCTTTTGTGCTGTTATGCCCGGAAAGACATTTTTTTATATCATCCTTCAACTGTTGTTCTTGGTGATGATATATGATTATATCTGATTGGGATTTGTTCATTCAAGATGTTATATTGTTTGCTTAACATGTATGTGTATTGTGGTGTGGAAAAGTGAAGTTGATTACTGGTTTAACATTATAACCGGGATTAAGAAAAGCTAAAAGGTTTGTAATACCTCCATCAAATCAGTATCTCCATGTTGAGGAGAAACAGGTAAGAGGATTATTATCATACACTCGCTCACTTTTTCTTGCACATTTCTATCCTACATTTTTTCTTTATTTCTCATCGCTGTCACCTATATTTCTCTCATCTTTTTCCCCCCTCTATCTTCCTCTTCCTTCTGCTTATGCACCTAAAATATTAGGACTGTTTAAAAAGTTTTTGTGATTGAAATTGAATCCAGAGTTCAAAACCAAACCATTTTTAACAGTGCATCGAGCCTAAGAAACAATTCGATTTAGGTGAACTGTTTTTCTGGTTCAGGAAAAACTGTTTTCGGGTTTGGTTCGTCTTTTTTTTTTTTTACATGGAACCGAACTAAGAGCAACCCTCACTTTCACCGTTTGGTTCCGTTCAGAGCAAGGAATATTTTGGTTCAGTAGTCCTAAACTAATTTGGTTCAAATTTTGGAATATAGTGAACTAAATCAAATAAACAGTTCAGTTCTCCAGTTCGATTTTGTTCGACTTTCTATGCTAAACTAAACCATAAACAGGCCTGCCAAAATGAGGTGTAAGTTCATCTTTTTTTAAGGGGTAATAATGTTTCACATAAAAATACTAACATCATGATGTGAATCATTAGCAAAAATAAGCACTGCACGAACATGAGATACTAAAACAAAATTAGTTTATTTTTGAATTTGGAATTTATTTTAAATTTACAATGAACAAAATGAGTTGAGGTTATTTTTTATTTATTAATAATTAAGATTACAATGAGGGTAACAAAGTTCAAATTTGTAATATTGTATATTATTTCAACTTTTATCATTAGACTAACTCCGGTTGTTTTAAGTTGAGACTATAGAATCTAATAACAATTTGTTAATATAACACGTGTTGATTAGAAATACCGAGGAAAAAGGTAAGTTTTTTATTCCAAGTAAATATAAAATATTTTTTTTAAAATGAAATAAATAAAGTAATATATTTTTATGAACTTTTCAACCATATTTTATTTCATTTAGTAAACAATATATAATTTTTAATTTAAAAATAAAAATTTTACATTATTTTTTTTTAGACTCTTTATCTTAAAATGTCAACGAACATATGGGTTAAGTAAAAAGTTATTTCAACTTAATTAATAGTTGCAATTATTTTAAATACTCATGAAGATAGTTTTATTGTCTATAATGATTTTACTTTACTTAAATAGGATTGACATAATTGAAAAATACACGTAATTTCTATACTAAAAAACATACTCTTATGATTATGGACAAAAATTCTTAAAAACAAGTCAATATTTCTTGAATATGAAGAATCTAGTTTTTAAAATTATCATTTTTTTAGCCATTTTGAGCTATTGAAAATTTCCTACAAGAACCTAGGTCCATTTGGTCGAAAGAGAGGAGAGGAAATGAGAGATTTTAACAAAGGAAAGGAGAGGAATTATAAATTTTGTTTAATTAAGAATAAAGGAGGGTAGGAAATATAAAAAATAAATAAATAAATAATTCTTGTTTGAATTACAAGGGAAAGGAAGAAATTTTAAAAATTAATTTACTTTTACATTATTATAGTTTTAAATTAAATAATATAAGTAAGAATATTTTTTACATAACACTAAAAATATTTTAAAATTTTTCATCTCCCCTCTACCCCTCCCACTATTGAAGGGGATTTAAAATTAGATGAAGAGAAGTCTTCCTTCTTTCTCTCCTAAAATATGAATCAAACAAGAAATTTTTAAATAATTCATCTCCTCTATTTTTTTCTGACCAAATACTATGTAATTGTAAAACATTAAATATCAAATATTTAATTATAATTTATTTTTAATTTTATTATCATATTATTATGACAAAATATTTATTAATGATGGGATTACTTTGCTTAAAATTATAAGATATGGATCGAATGTCACTCGAAAGAATGTTTCTCCCAACATATCATCTAGTAAATTGTTTATATCACTCAGCAAAGAAAAACACTTCATAAATGCTTAGGCAAATGAGATATTAGTCATGTGCATTAATTATAATGTCTCTACACAAATCAAATGGTCAAATGGTACGCGAATCTACAAAACACCGTTGACAAAGGAGGAGTGGAGGAGGAGGTCAATTATTGGTTTGTTTTGGTTTTCTTTTATCATTCCTTGTATCTCAACCCAATTTAAATACGATTTAACTTTTTATGTTTTTTTTTATATAATAATTTCATAAATGGGTTACATTTTCCTTTAAATATTTTTAAACTATTATTAATTCAAAGTTTTATGAATTAATGGATGACGACTTTTTGTTGGGTATCAGAAAGAATGAGCGGAATGCGGAA